AAACAAGTATATGTCGTTGACACTAACACAGTCAACATCACCAAGCACTCGGACTCCTGGAATCAACAGGAAACTTGAAAATTCATCAAAATAATTTCTGAGCCGATGAATCTTTCCCCGGACATGGGCAGTGGAATACTTCTTCTTGAAAGCACAACTCAACTTGCGGCTCAGAGAACGTGCAATTTCTTACAACACTTCTTGAAAAACACTCGGTAGCAAGCATTTTTTTCACCCTCGGTCCACTCCATGCCATAGAAGCGGATAGCGATATGCTTATTGCGTTTAATTCTATCAATTTTTTCTTCAAACATGCTTAGTTTTTTTTTTTTTTTTTGGATTGGAATATAAAGGATTTTACTCTTGCTAGTGTTTTTTAATTCGTTTTTGGTTTCTAAAAGTGAAATGTTAGCAATTATTGAGTAGTAGTAATGGTGGTATATATACATATCATTTGTCTAAGTTTTTTACGTAAAAAACCAGACAATCAATGTGTTACGTAAACTATGCGAATTAAAATGGCGGAGAATATTAAATTATACGACATTTGATTTGAATGTATGATTCTTAAATATGCAAACATATTACGCATACTTAATTATACGGTGATATAGATCTGGATATGCGACTAGTAAACTATGCGAACATTTGTCGCATAATCATTAAATATGCGATATTTGATTTGGATATGCGGATTTCTGAATATGGAAACGTTATCGCATATGGTAAATTAAGCGGTAGATTTGGATATGCGAAATGTAAACTATGCACAAAAATGTCGCACAACATAAAATATATAACGTTCGATTTGGATATGTGATTATTGAATATGTGAAACGTTAACGCATGTGGTAAATTAAGCGGTGGATATGAATATGCGAGATGTAAACTATGCGAAAACATGTCTTATAACATAAAATATGGGACACAGAATTTGGATATTTGATTCTTGAATATACAGAAACTTCATATGAAAAATTATACGGTGAATTTGGATATGCGAGTCGTAAACTATGCAAAAATATGTCGCATAACATAAAATACGCGACATTGGATTTGAATACGCGATAACATAATATGCGTAAGTGTTTTACATACTTGTTAACTATGCGTCCGATTTGGATATGCGAGACATAAATTATGCGAAACTTGTTGCATAATCATAAAATATGTGGCTATCAATTTGGATATGTGATAATTATATAGGGGAAATAAGTTCGCGTAACCAAAATTATGCAGTGAATTTGGATATGCGTTATATATATACGACAAAATATCACATCACATAATTGTTAATTATGCTGTTCATTTGGATATGCTATTAATATCGCATAAAGTTTCGTAATTACTGGGGTGAATTTTTTTTTTTTTGATGGAACGGTATGTAAAAGAAAGTACATGTATATAGTGGATGTTAAAGAAAATCGTCTTATTATAATTTTGTGGAATTTAGTGTTCTATTATTGAAGTTATCATTTATTAAGAAATCTTTCAAATTATACTCAATTTTGTTATGAATTATTTGTTATAAAATAATATATGTGAATGACTATTTTGCCCCCGATGTAATTGTATTATTACGGTTGTGCCATCAGAAGTTTCCTATAAATAGGAGC